CAGACTCTTATTATACCGAAAAAGTAAAACAAGAGCCAGTTTGATACTGAATTAAGTGAACTGCTTCGTTTTGGCCATTCGCAAATTACTATCTTGGCTTTGTAGTATCGATCCAATTTGGTTGTAAAATTTTATTTGTTCATTTCTTAAAGGTTATAACCGAAAATATCCCTACAAATACTCAGTCACAGAAATTGATGAAATTTGAGATACTTTTTCATTCTTGTACTTAATCTGTACTTTTTGCTTGATTCCCCTGACTGCAGCCTTCGAAAAAGTCTTTGGGGGAACGTTTGACCCATGTTTTTCTGATATATTTATTGGTTTTCTCGAGAACTATTCATCTCAAATGTGCGTTTTTGGTTTCAATGAATAGAACTGTTTTGAAAAGTTCCCCGCATGAGCGGCTATGCACAATTTTTTTTGAACGAAGTTTGAATATTCTCGAAAACTACCCTGCCATTTTTGAGAGTTTGGGTTCATTTCAAAGAACGGGTTGTGGGAAGCTCATTTGCTTTTGCGGCTACTCCGAAATTTTTCTGACACCAAAAATTTTGTTCCTCGGAAAAATTAAATGTTGATTTTTGACTGTTTTTTTTCTAAAACTTTTTGACATTTCTCGAGAACTACCCTCCCAAATCTGAGATTTTAGGTTCAATCGAAATTACAGGTTACAGCTTTGCGCTATTTTTTCACGCAAAAATCTATGATTTTCGGAAATAGCAAGTATTTGAGTAGTTGACATTTTTTTCTAGAATTTTCTCGCTATTTATCGTACCAAATCTGATATCATAGCTTTAGTCAAAACATTAAGTTGTTGAAACTACTTTTATAACTGGCTATGCCCACTTTGTTAAAGAAAAAATTTTGGCCTTCAAACAAGTCGAAGTTTTTAAACAGTGTTTTGCTAATTTTTTGATTTTAAGTGAAAACTACCGTGCCACTTCTTATGTTGTGTTCAATCGAAAAACACAGTTTTGGGAATTTTCTCTGCTTAAGCGGCCCCAACCTGCCCTTTGCAGGAAAAAATCTTGGATTTTGGAAATCTTTTTGACCATTGCTTAGAACTTTGACCGTTTCTTAGAAATTTTTGAATTTTCTTAAAATTTACACCATCAAATCTGAGATGAACAGTTCAACTGGAAGAACCGGTTGCGATCTTGGCTCCTGCAGGAGCGGTGGCTCCTTAATTTTTGTATGGGAATTTTTATCTCCTTGGGAAAATTGATTATCTCGAAATTTTTTGCTCTTCTCACTTACTTTAGTAGAGAAACAACTAAGTCCAATTTTTTAAACCCATTTTCCGTGCTGCATCAGTATAGAAAATTCGTGCATTATCACACGCATACCGCATACCTCCAGCTTTAGCTGGGCCTCTAGTTGTTTATTAACTAGACTTACGAAAATTTTGGTTTACTCAGTTTTTTTTAACTTTAATTTTTTTCGACATCTGTTTTTTAATGTTTATGTTGAATCGTAAGTGGTGCGAAGTGGAGTAATGAAAAATGAAAGGTTTACAACAAAATTGGATCGATATAACAAAGACAAGATAGTTATCTGGGACTGCCCAAAACGAAGCAGTTCACTTAATTCATCCTCAAATTGACTTTTTTTTTTTTTTACTTTTTTTGGTATAATAAGACTCTGTGTAATGAGACACAGACTCTTATTATACCGAAAAAGTAAAACAAGAGCCAGTTTGATACTGAATTAAGTGAACTGCTTCGTTTTGGCCATTCGCAAATTACTATCTTGGCTTTGTAGTATCGATCCAATTTGGTTGTAAAATTTTATTTGTTCATTTCTTAAAGGTTATAACCGAAAATATCCCTACAAATACTCAGTCACAGAAATTGATGAAATTTGAGATACTTTTTCATTCTTGTACTTAATCTGTACTTTTTGCTTGATTCCCCTGACTGCAGCCTTCGAAAAAGTCTTTGGGGGAACGTTTGACCCATGTTTTTCTGATATATTTATTGGTTTTCTCGAGAACTATTCATCTCAAATGTGCGTTTTTGGTTTCAATGAATAGAACTGTTTTGAAAAGTTCCCCGCATGAGCGGCTATGCACAATTTTTTTTGAACGAAGTTTGAATATTCTCGAAAACTACCCTGCCATTTTTGAGAGTTTGGGTTCATTTCAAAGAACGGGTTGTGGGAAGCTCATTTGCTTTTGCGGCTACTCCGAAATTTTTCTGACACCAAAAATTTTGTTCCTCGGAAAAATTAAATGTTGATTTTTGACTGTTTTTTTTCTAAAACTTTTTGACATTTCTCGAGAACTACCCTCCCAAATCTGAGATTTTAGGTTCAATCGAAATTACAGGTTACAGCTTTGCGCTATTTTTTCACGCAAAAATCTATGATTTTCGGAAATAGCAAGTATTTGAGTAGTTGACATTTTTTTCTAGAATTTTCTCGCTATTTATCGTACCAAATCTGATATCATAGCTTTAGTCAAAACATTAAGTTGTTGAAACTACTTTTATAACTGGCTATGCCCACTTTCTTAAAGAAAAAATTTTGGCCTTCAAACAAGTCGAAGTTTTTAAACAGTGTTTTGCTAATTTTTTGATTTTAAGTGAAAACTACCGTGCCACTTCTTATGTTGTGTTCAATCGAAAAACACAGTTTTGGGAATTTTCTCTGCTTAAGCGGCCCCAACCTGCCCTTTGCAGGAAAAAATCATGGATTTTGGAAATCTTTTTGACCATTGCTTAGAACTTTGACCGTTTCTTAGAAATTTTTGAATTTTCTTAAAATTTACACCATCAAATCTGAGATGAACAGTTCAACTGGAAGAACCGGTTGCGATCTTGGCTCCTGCAGGAGCGGTGGCTCCTTAATTTTTGTATGAGAATTTTTATCTCCTTGGGAAAATTGATTATCTCGAAATTTTTTGCTCTTCTCACTTACTTTAGTAGAGAAACAACTAAGTCCAATTTTTTAAACCCATTTTCCGTGCTGCATCAGTATAGAAAATTCGTGCATTATCACACGCATACCGCATACCTCCAGCTTTAGCTGGGCCTCTAGTTGTTTATTAACTAGACTTACGAAAATTTTGGTTTACTCAGTTTTTTTAACTTTAATTTTTTTCGACATCTGTTTTTTAATGTTTATGTTGAATCGTAAGTGGTGCGAAGTGGAGTAATGAAAAATGAAAGGTTTACAACAAAATTGGATCGATATAACAAAGACAAGATAGTTATCTGGGACTGCCCAAAACGAAGCAGTTCACTTAATTCATCCTCAAATTGACTTTTTTTTTTTTTTTTTTACTTTTTTTGGTATAATAAGACTCTGTGTAATGAGACACAGACTCTTATTATACCGAAAAAGTAAAACAAGAGCCAGTTTGATACTGAATTAAGTGAACTGCTTCGTTTTGGCCATTCGCAAATTACTATCTTGGCTTTGTAGTATCGATCCAATTTGGTTGTAAAATTTTATTTGTTCATTTCTTAAAGGTTATAACCGAAAATATCCCTACAAATACTCAGTCACAGAAATTGATGAAATTTGAGATACTTTTTCATTCTTGTACTTAATCCGTGCTGAGTTCTCTCTAAACCATTTTTTTTATTTCTCGTTGATAGGCATATTAACCATAATGGTCGGAACAGAGCAGTTGCATGTAGGGCGTTTTTGGAATTCATCTGACAAATGATCCATCATCGTATACCTAAACTGTTTTTATTAGAATATATTCTGGCAACGGAAATAACCCAAAAAAGGCATTTGGAAAGTTCCGTTAGTACAGAAAATTGAAAAAAAAATTGAGTCTGAGCTCGAACTCAACCGACGTCCACGAGATATGAAGTTGAACGCTTTTGATCATCTGAAGTTTGAAAACACTCTTCAGCTCATTGACGCCGCTTTCATCTTAGCTTAACAGCTTTTTTAAAAGTGCATAATGGAAACCGGGTGCCACTTAATTCGCAGCGGTTACTACCATCGTCATATCCTAAATACCACAGAATAATGCTCAAGTTACAATGCATTGTAGTGTGTTATGCGCTTCTGTGTTACGCTATTGAGTGCGTGTTACAGCTAAGCTTTTTTTGTTAAAAAATGTGCGGTGAAAGTGTGTTGAACCATATTCATAGTTGATCAGCGAACGTTGTCGTCTTAGTTAGCAAATATGGTCCTTTGTTTGAATATCTTGACCTATGAGTAAATAAGCAGAAGAGATTTGCAAAAATGTACTTTTCATTTGATTAAAGGCTTGTAATTCTTATTTTTGGTAGAGACGGTGTCAAGTGTCATTTCAATTACCACAAAAATTAATTTAGCTCACTATGTTTTTAACAAGCTGCACTAGAAGGCTCTATAGTGTTGTTAAGAATTGGAAACTATTTTTTGTGTCGGTTACATTCTGTAGCTGATTGGGAGAGTTAAGCGATTTCCTACTGCTAATCCGAACGAACAGGAGATATTATTGCAAACGAAGGGAAATGAAGAAAGAGGAATATTTTGCAGAGTGCGTGCATTGTAGGGCGAGACAAGTGGTCTTTGAGGCGATAGGTTTTTCTACCGAGCAGCTCAACAATTTTTTGGAGAAGCGATCGTATGCATTTTGAGTTAAATTAGTTGCTTATTTTGTGTATTGCAATGTAACTAAAGTTATTTAGATCGATCACAGTTTGTTTGATACCGCTTGTGTATGGATCTTAAGCGACACAAATTAGTGTTTATGAGATTTTTCTTTGCATTTGTGGACAGATTTAAATCAGGTTGTGTTGATTTTTAAATCTTGCGGGCTGGCTGGACACTGGTGATGTTTACCAACAGCATTTTTTAAAGAAAAAAAAACAGGCCAAAACTGGCATTTTTTGGAAGGTTTTGACCAAAAAATTGCGAATTGGGGAGGGGTGCGTTTTCTACTTCCATAGTAACTAAAAATTGTGCATCGTTTTTCGACTTAATCAGACGTCTAACAAATGGTATGCAAACGCACCAAGTGTTTCCATGTATCTTCCGTTCATAATACCATTTACCAAGTCGTTGTTCCTTTTTTGTACCATTTCAGTGGTGTTTCAACCGCTTTCACGTGTTAGAAATATATTCCTCGATGGTGGTGCTCTAATTCCCCCTGTAAAATCATTTTCCTTCTGTGCTTTTTATTTTTCGGCCTCTACTTTCAATGATTTAATGACTGTATCTTCAGAATTCGGAGTGTTATGCAACATCCGAGAGTGATTCGTGTATTGCATAACTCTTTTCGACTCTTACGTAAGAGATTAAATAATTTTAATTGACAGTTTTGTTGTGAAAACACGTAGATTTTTTAACTTACCATCGAGTTTACGTGAAACTTTTTATCGTTTCTGGTCTAACCTGACCGCACATCTCTTGCGTTTTACGTAAAGCTTTGTTCACATTTTGATCACAGTTTGTAGTCCAAGTCACCTTCAAAGGAGCCGAAAATTCAGCTGTTAATTTGCTTTCGACGATTTAATCGAGAACCCGAAAAACATAGTTAAATTTTTGTCACTCGAATGTATCATTTTAAAGTGAAAACTGCAGTTTCCATTGCCCAGTAACTCTCGCTCTTAATAAAACCGCGACCACGAAAACAGTGATAAAAGTTTGTGTTTCAGATCGAATTGATTCCAATTACTCTCTGAAACTCTACCAAGTTGTGTTATTAATTTTATCCAAAATTCCTAAAACAAGAAACTTCAGTTTAATTCAGGCGTTGTAGCAAGTGTCCTTCGTTGACCTTGATTGTCGAGTTCTGACTTGACTAGGGTCCTGTCGAAGATCTGAATAACGGGACACAGTTTGTTTAAATTGTTTGCCCGCCTTGAGCTCTCTTATATCCATACAATCAGTTTAAATCGACTCACTGAATATACAAGCTTAACTTAGTGTTTGGAAACAGTTCTTCAGCTTACAAATTACCCTTGAAGTTATTCATTCGGCAGCTGCTTTAAACTCGCCCTATTTCCAAAATCAACGTGATCTTCGGATTATTCAGTTATAGGATTATAGTTTATCACGATTTAGCTTAAAACTATTTCTCTTCGGTTACTTCTTGAATCGCATTTTGAATTTTTTTTGTCGGTTTGAGACAAAAAGTCGCAGTCGATTTTTGAGCAATTCTTTATTTTGTTTGTCAAGTCTGCAATTTTTTCTAAAGTTATACATACTTCGGAGTTGAATCATGACTGTGAATCAGTACGTGGATGGTTTGAGGACCTCGGGGCAACCATTCGACGCCGAGTCAGCAAACTCAAACTACTCAAACGAGGGAGTGTTGCCGGCATGCCATGGTGAGTCTCGAGACGAACTGCGGCCCGAGTCCAATCCGAGCGACTCCTCTTTGGATTATGGAGTGGATGCAATCAGAGCAGCAGACTACGCTGGAGGTGACGTGGATGTGTCGTGCCTGGACAACCAGGGTCCCAAGGCTGGATCTGGCTGGACAGAAGGGCCGCATGATTCTGTAGCCGAGGGTAATTTTTATTCGGCAAAAATGAGTGAAATTTCCTAAGAAATCGAAATCACTTTGCTCCGAATTGAAATAGCACTTTCATACTTCCATGGGATTCTTGGGAGCACCGTAGCTAATGTGAAATAAAATTCAGCCCTAACGTGACACAAATTTCAGGGAATATAACATAAAACAAAATTGCTGGTAAATCAAACTTATACGTTTTTATTCATTCTAGCCCAATTTGAAAGGACAATGTTATATATATTTTTTTTCATAGTTGATGGCAAAAGTTCATGGGACTTCTCTATAGAACAAGGCGAGTTGAATCAAGATCTCTGTGGAAGTGCGGATTGCAATTCAGGAAAACTTGTCCATATAAAATTAAAAATCTTCAAAAAATGTGCTTCAATAGAATCATTACAGTAATACACACGGTTTAAAAATGGGATATATTTTTGGATTTTGTATCACTAAATCGGGTCTAGGACAACAGGGCGACGAGACTTCAAGCCGAAGAGACTTCAGGCCAAAATTTGAACTTTTCAAGCACCTCAAAACACTTTTTCATCAGTAAAACGTTGCTTTTAAAAAATTTAGTTAAGTTTAGTCCATAAAAAGCGATATTCATGACAATGCACCACCTGGAATTGGCATCCGTTGATAACATCAGCCGGTTTTTGAAATGCATAAGTTATAAACATGAAAAACGCCTTCAACCGTATTTTATTTTTCAACTTTCCTAAACGTCATTTGGAGGCTTAAATTTTATGAAAACGCCAATAACTAATGAAGAAAGATCATGAAATTCAGAAGTTCTTCAATAAAATTTTCAAATTAATCATAATTCACAAGTTTATAAGAAAATATTCGGCCTGAAGTTCCTATTTTTACGAATCGGCTTGATGTCCGGCACCCCGCCCCCACTAAATCAAATTAGAAAATTTTTGACTAAGTTTTTAGACGAATTTGGCATAAAGTAATTGATTATTTTTGCGAGCTTTAGTAATTGGGCAATTTTTCCGCCTTGAGATAAAATTTTTGACTAAGTTTTTAGACGAATTTGGCATAAAGTAATTGATTATTTTTGCGAGCTTTAGTAATTGGGCAATTTTTCCGCCTTGAGATAAAATTACGAGAAATGAGCTTAACCGGTGATTTCGATGTATTTTAAACGTCACCCTGGCATTTGGTTGCAGATTATTTTGTTTTGAGACAAATGGAAATGGCGATCTCGGAAGTGACTTCTAATAGTTATATTTTTTAAGAAGCTCCGATAGCTATTAATCAATTTGCTTATCTTATGAACCGAGAATGATGAAATGGATCTTCGTTGAAATTTTTCATCAGCTGAAAAAAAGTTGGAATTTTTCATAGAACCGTTAGATATATTTGCGCTTGCGATTAGCAAGAGTTATTAAATGGGAATATGGACTTTTTTCGGGTTAACATCTTGTTTATCAGAAACACTGAAATCACTCTGTGTCTTAGTTCACAAGGAATTCAAATTTCCAAGAGTCTTCGGCTTACTTAGTCTGCAGGTAACTAATGTGCCTGGGATGGCAAATGTCCTGGGTTTGAATGTGAACAAGAACCTTTTTTTTCGAACGTGAAATATCCGTTTCAAAAATATTGTCGGCTTTTTATTTAACCACTTATGTTTTGTCGACTTAGTTGCCATATCTTAGAATTTTTTTGCTGTACGCAGTTTTCATTGTAGTTGCTTTTTATGTTATCGTTTACTCCTGCATATTGTAAGTCTACTGACCTTGATTTCGTATTTTATCCTTTTTTTGTTTTAACATTTTTTGGCCTAAATGATTTCGGCTATACAAGTTTTCATGACATTTTTTTTCGCTGGAAAATTGTTTTAAATTTTCATTAAACGCCAATAAATGTGTTTTTGAACGTGTTTTCCGCATTTAGAACATCATTCCTGACAACTTTTTGAAGTTTTTTTTAGTTGTTGTTTCCTCGAAAATTTTTCCGTTTTCTTAGCATTTAGTTGCTTCCTTTCGTGTCTGCTAGCTTGCAATTCTATTTGTCTTCATATTTTTTTTGTTGACTTAGTTGGCTTTGTGCTGAAGTTTTTGGTGATCTGAGCAACTTTCTCGGTGATATAAAATCTTTTGATGTATTCTTGTAGTGGTGCTTGCAAATCAGCTTGCAAATCAGAAATTTTGCTGGTTTTTTGAAATAATTTTTCTTTTCTGCGATTTTCAGATCTTTTGAAATTTTCCATGAAGGTAGTGAAAACAGGTACAAGGTTTATTGATTTTTTTCAGAAAAATTCGTAGATTTTGCTCAAATTTGTTTTTTTTTGTCTCTTTGACTTTAGCTCTTTTTTCATCCCAATTCAAAGTCATTTGCTGAAAATAAAAAGAAGGCAGAATACGCTAGCTACTAATAAATTGAAATGGGATGGAAAACGTGATTAGTGTCTAATTTCAAAAATGATTTTTTTTTTCAGATTTCCCCGCAGAATAAAAAATTGAGCTGCTGATCCAATTTTCTCACATTGGTCAGTTTCATTCAAAAAATTTCAGTTTTTTTGTCTCCTTAAGTCCATTGACACTTCTTCGATATTATGGTGGTTCTTCTCATTCTCCTCTCAGTCGCAAAAAAGAAATGAATGAGTCTTGTCTTCAATTTTCAATTTTTACACACGCCAGCCGTTATCAAATTGTGTGAAATCATGATTTTATTTGGTTGTAATATCTTTAAATTCCCCCTTTTTCAACAATTGATTCCTTATTTGGTCAAATATGCTCTTATAGATCATTAGAGTGTAATAGAATGGCTGGATTGCGTCTACTTTTGAAGTACTTGGAAGTTTCAAAAAAATCAAAGATTTTGGTGTTTTAACAGTTAATTTTTGTTACGCCTTAGACCACTGGCGTATATTTTTGTATCGCAAACTGTGCGAAGTTCCTCTTAGCCTCTGTTCAGAATTTCAAGCAGTTCATATTAAATAAGCAGCTACCGCGAAATTAAAGTCTAAAACTAATATACTGCGACCAAATATCGAGGTTGTCTGATTTTAAACGTCTATCTCACTTTCTTGGGTGCTATGACTAAGCGTTTCTTCTGAAGTGAAAGGTTGTCTTGTGAAATCTCTAATCTGATTCTCCTTTTGATTAATCAAGATTCATCTAAATGTTCACACCACTGGAGGCGGAGCGTCGGAAACGCCACGAGACAGGATGTGGGTCCAGGTAATATTGATGATTCGCAAACAATCAATCGGTGCTTCTTCAAAACCAATCAATCCCTCCTCTCCTTGCTTGTTGTCTCATCTCAACTGTGATTCTTATCTCAATTGCGCGAGCTGCCAAAACAAGTCTTCGAGTCGTGCGTTGCTTTACAAAATGTTGATGATGGGATGATGACATGTTTAGTACCCAAAAGCGGACGGCAAAAGATCATTTTTACCTCTTGACCAACTGCTACGCTACTGGTTGAATAGTCTTGAATAGCTTCTTCCCTGAAATTGTCGTCATCTACCTCGGGAGTGAGTAATCGGCAGGTATACTCTGTCTCTGCTCAATTCTCGACCAACGATGAGTTCTCGAATTTGCTACCCTGCATGGGACAATCAGAAGGGACGAGGTCCCAATACTACTGGCCACCCGATTTGAGTGGTTACCTGTCTAGATACCTGTCGATTATGGTAAGGGTGTCACCTAGGTGGCTGCTCCCGAGGTAGAAATCGAAACAGGTACATATAACATACAGTTATTTCAACCACATGAAATACTAAGTAGGGTGTTTAAAAACTAGGCAAGTTGTTGTCAATCATGCATTTACTAAAGCAAGCCTGCCTAACTTAGGGTTTCAAAAAAATAACGGCCTAATTTTATAGTTATTTTGACAATAGCACACCATCTCACCACTTGAATGAAAAAATGAGCGCGAAAACAGCACAAAGAGGACTCGCAACAAATCGAACCGAATCCTGAACGACGTGACTTCTTTCGCAGAGTTCGAGTATGAACAAAGTTGTTTTTTTTCGACTTCAGGAAATCCCAACACGAGCAATATTTTAATTACTGCAATTGTAAACATGCAGCTCATTCGTGAAAGGCGGATTTGTAAAATTTGTCATTACTAATTGTCTGTCATTGATTAATGATTATATTTGAACTTCAACTTGTTTGGTGTAGGTGAAATAACCACTAGTGTTACTTTTTCATATTTCAGTTCATGCTTTAATTCGCGAGCAAAGCCCGCCGAGCCCGGACTACGGTTCTATTTTACTTTCGTCTTTAAATTTTAATCAACAAATATTTTTTGGGTCATTTATTCCGAATGTTATCACTTTTGTGTGTTTCTAGGCCACGACAACGTGACCAAACGACCTCGCAATCTCACTTCGTTCAGTGAGTCGCAATGTGGACGCGACGAATTCGCGACGATCATGAAAGAGGTTGGCGAACTAGGCCCATGGCAATGGTTTATTGCGTTTTTCAATATGCTGATGACAATAACCGCCGGAATCCAAAACAATTCGTACCCCATGTTGGTGGGAAGTAGTAACAACTGGGCATATGGGTGCAAATTGAAAGATGATTCGAATTTCACTCTGAATTCTGACTTACAATCCTGTGAGATTGTACTGGCTGATTCGGAGCAACCAATCAAGTGTTCCGAATCAGACAGTCATGAGATGGTGTACCAGCACGAACACTTCGATAATGCTCTGCTGACCGAGTTCCACCTGATGTGCGGATACGCGAACTTCCTAGTCCCTCTCGTCCACTCGGCGTTTACTATCGGCTGTTTCTTCGGCGTCTTTCTGTTCGGCTGGTTGGGTGACTGGGTCGGACGGAAGAAGGCACTGTGTGTTGGAGTTCCCATCATGATCGTTCTCAACTTCTCTCTCACATTCTCTCCAAACATTTACGTCTTTCTAGCTGTCAGACTGTTGCAAGGTTTGCTTTTCAAATGCCAATCCTAATTGGCCATGACACTGTTTACTTCAATTATGTTTCATTTTGATAGATTGAAGCATTTGTAGTTGAATTTTTCAACTTTTAATTTGAAGGAAGAATATTTTTTAAGTTTTTCGAACTTAACTAAATCTTTTTTTTATCGAAATAACGGTAATTAATTTTTTTTTGTCTTGTCTCAGACGATGCATATCTAGACCTTTTCTAGGTGTCGTGGTCTTTGGAACATTCACGGTGGCTTACGTGATTTCGATGGAAACGACTGCTCCCTCGCGACGAGCCATGATTGGCAACGTCGTCCACATTCCATGGGGCCTACAGTTCATCACGGTGGCGCTGATTGCCATGTGGCTGAAACACTGGCGCTACCAGCAGATCGTCTACTCCATTCCCTCTCTTTTATGCCTCGTTTGCGTCACTCCTCTCCTTTCCGAGTCTCCCAGATGGCTGGCAATTAACGGAAAGATAGAAGAGGCAACCCAGGTGACCACTTTTTAAGTTTTTTAGGCGATTGAGATCAGAGTTGAGTTTCTTTCGATAATAGCAACTTGATGTTTAACCAGTGGTTTTCGGAAACTTGAAAATTACAGGTTGGAAAATTACAATTTATGTAAGTTTTGAGTCTTCGCTTAACAAAATGTTAAGACGAGGTGATTTGCTTAAATGGGTTCCAAGAAAGTTCGTTTTGATTTAGGTTCTGCTTCGTGGAGCAAAATGGAATGGGAAAAAGGTGTCCGAGGAGTCGATTCGGGAACGCCTGGAGTCGTTTCACAGACGCGCTTCTGAAGATGCACATAAGCAGCCAAGTAATCTGAAGCTGGCAATGGGTCTGGTCAAGACTCCGGAAATGAGACGTCGTTTTCTGTTCTCAGCAGTAATTTGGTTCCAAGGAGCGTTCACAAACCACGGCATAAATTTCTATGCACCGCAATTGGCAGAGGACCCCTATCTGGCCTATTGTCTTGTCGGATTCTTTGAATTCATTTCTCCTGTCATCGGGGCCATCGTGTTCACCTACGGTCGTAGGCTTCCCCTCATCTTCTTGTTTGCTGTGTGTGGCTTTATTTCGTACAACATAATAACGGTGATGAAGGTGTGGCCTGACAACAACGAGTTCCAACTGCTGGCCATGCTGCTCTTCGCAACGTTCCTGTCGGACATGGCGTTCAACGGTATCTACGTGCACGTGTCGGAGTTCATGCCTACTACCCACCGAAGTATTGGGCTGGGAAGTTGCTCAGCTGTCGCTCGAATCGGATCTTCTCTGTCGTCAATCCTTGTGAGCACCGCTAGCTCCTACCCATATCTACCACCGGTCATTTTCGGAACTCTCTCTCTGGCTGGAAGTTTCTGCACCTACATGTTGCCCTCGACTGAGAACCAAGAACTACCTGAGACCATCGAAGATGTGGAGGAGCACGGACGAGAGAGACGCAGAGGTCTTACTTGGCTGTCGCAGAACTCGATTGCCAAGTTCAAAGCCAACACCACCTCTGGAGTGAGCGACCATGTGGCGTCTTCATGCAACCACTGTGACAAACGCATGAAACGAAACACGGTGTCGAGTGGGTTGTGCGATGAGGCAATGATTCAGAATGTAACATGTGTCTAGAAAATTGGATATTGGCGAACTTACAGAGAGACAATGTGATAAAGCAACAGCAACACAGAAGTTGCAAAAAATGTGATAAATAATAACTGAAATTGATGAGTATAGTATTTCTTTATATTTAAATGTGCATACTTAAAATCTTTGAATCAAACTTATTTTTCGAAGAATTGGTCGTATCATATGTTAATAATTTCTCTATACTGGATTGTGAAACTGTTTTTTGTTCGATCCTCTGTTTGTACATCATTAATTAGCTTACGCTTGGTTGATGAAATTGAATGTCAATACAATCAATTCAGTCTTATTTTTACATCATTATCTTTTTTTTAATGAAACAGTCACGCTTATTAGGAGATGGTTTTCCCATTTAGACAATCTATCGAAAGAAGATTTCTTACTGTGCAAGTTGCTATTATATCTGGTAAAAATTGAGTTGATGTTTTTTGATGGATATTTGATCATCAACCGAAGAATTTTTCCTGGTTTGTAAAAAACGAAGTTAGCCGGTTTTCTAAAATGGGGTTAGTGTTATCTAAAATGTTTCTATCATAAAAAATACTAAAATTCAAAGAATTTCAAGGCCATATATATATATTTTTAAAATTCAGTTTTTTTTTTCTGTAATCTTGAGTTCAGTGGCACTTATTCAATTATTCAACGTCGAACATAGTCAATTGGCTATGTTCAATTTCTGTGAACAGCTTGTTTGTACTAGTAGTTGCATTTATAATAGAAATGATGTAAAGGAATAGAGTTTCTAAGTAGAAAAGTAGCGTAATCCTAGCAGCAGTTGTTTGAAAGTTAAGGCAGGCGACTCTTGGATATGATAGTTTTGGTTCGAATCTCGTTGTCAGCAGACATTTTTAAGAGTCGTTGATTAAAGTTCAGACTCTTATATAGATGCTGATAATTTTTTCCGTTTTCAGATGTCTTAAAATTTGTTCAGGCTCAAATTTAATTTTATGAGGTTTGACGTAGATTTCTTTTTTAAGTAAGTTAATTTCCTTTGTTAAAAGGAAGACAAACTCCTCTATCGAACGGCGTCTGAAGTGGCTTTTATAATAAATTGGCCAATTTGTAAGGTTAAAAGAATTACATTTTCTTCGTATTTGTTGGTGGATTTTATGACATGCTGTATAACTGCGTTCAGATCATCGAAATCCTCTATCAAACAGCAAAAGTGTAAAAGGCACAAAAATGTGATAGACTTCTAGTGTCGAAAGTGGAATTCAATTTTCAGATTTCCCAGCGGTTCAAACAAGTAATCTATTGATCCAGCGTTCTGAAATTGGGATATTAAAAAAAATCATAAATTGTTCTAAAAAATAAAAAACGCAATATGGGCATCTATTTTTTTCTTTCAAATTCGAAAAGAAAGATTTTGGAAACTAAGTCATTATGTTTTTCTTGCGTTCATTAACTCTTTTCGAACTGTCTGTTGGTAATGTTTGTTTTTAGAGCGGCTGATTTTGGAGCTCAGTTATGCAATCGTTTGTTGCCTGTGTTTGCGATTTGCAGCTAACCCTCTGTGCATGTTAAGTTCCCCTTGGAAATCACATAACTATAATGGCTGTACTTTTTTTGATCAGCACTCAATCTGTTCCAGACTTCTTCATTCGGTTTTCTGAGCCAAAGGGGTGTGATGGTTCTTTCTTACGTTTTTGCTCGATTTTGTTTACCTCGAAGAAAGCTCGGAGTGTGGTATCATATTCAAGCCACATTTGTTGTAATTCGGTTTCCAAGTAAAATCAAATTGTTGTCACAATTTTGAGAAAAAAGGCCTGAATTTTTCTATCACACGAAATTTCGCGGTGTTTGATGACACTGAAATCAGTTTTGATGACACTCAGTTTATTCAACAATTTTGCGTTATTTACTTCATTAAGACATTTTAATAAAAGGAACCATAGGTTCCCGATACTCGGCGAAGCGGATTCGAAGCGGGGTCTGTGTCATGATGGACGCGTGCATTGTCCGCTAGGCTATGGAGGCGAGCCGTGAGCATTTTCCCAAATTTTCTTATTGTGAGGTGTTTTTCGTGCCAATTTTTTTTCAGTTTTCCTGGTGTATGGAAAAAAGTTTCTTGCGGGAATCAAACACTGTTGTTTGTTTTCTTGGACAAAAGTCTTAGCCGCTCAGCAATGTGCGATAACTTGATCTACCTAATTTATGCTTTAGCCTGATTACTTCCAACTTAATATTTTGTGGGACTAAGTAACAAATAATAAGGTTATAATTATATTCACGCATTGGATAAAAGTTAATGTAAGTTTTCTCTCTTTTTTCTCTCTTTTCCTATTATCTGCGGTTGTACCCACTCTCATGCCCACCGTTCAAAGTCGCGCCGCCGTCATTTGTTTGGAGCTGAAATCAGTCCATTGAGTCCTCAATGCCAATGTACTCCTCCATGCGCTTTTCAAGTAGGCTGGCACGCGTGTTGGTGTAATTAGGATGTTTTGTGGCTCTATGAGACAGCTGTATGACAAAACTCATGTCTACCATAAAGCCCCGTGGCGAGTAGTACCTCGCACGAAGAAATGCTGGTTAATTGTTCACGGTGGCGAGGTGTGCTGGCAATTCCATGGTCAAGTCCAGAGTAGAGTTGATTGCGACTAGAGTTGGTAGCGAAGGTAGAGTTGGAGGCGATATAATTGAAAAGTTAGAGAAAAGAGTTTGAAATCGCTGTTAGCAGGCTAGCGGAGGGATCAGACTGAATAGCTGTCAGTGTTTTCAAGAGTCAAAAGTTACGTTGAAGGTACAGGGCATCTGAAAATTGGTTTAATTAAGAGCTAAGATGGATGAGGTATGCCCTGTCATTTGGGATAAGGAACGGAGATGAAGCAGAGGAAGTTACAAATTGCATGCTGGGCTTTGTGAAAAGTTTATTTTAGGGGAAAAGTAGCTAGCGGAATCAAAAATGAAGTCAAGCGAAACACATGGAAATGGTAATAGGCTTTGCTTGTTCGATTTGGGCCTTCAGGTAGCGTGATTAGCTTTTGACAAAAGCAAATCCATTTGAACTCTCCGGTGGCTTTGATTGATTTTTTTTTCAATTTCAGGTTAAACTCCAATACGTGGGTGTTTTGTTGTATTGTAATTAAGAAAATAATTAGGTTGGTTATTTACAAATTAACTATCAAACAGTTTAGGAGTCGGTGATTGAACATCGATTGTTCTTTCGTTTCTATCGAAAAAGGGGAGTCCGAGGAGGATCACTAAAAATGTTATGAAGACCATGAGTTCTACAAAATGGAGATGTCCTACTTGAAAGGTAGAATTGCTGCAAAACGAGATTGGGGTAAAAATGCAGTAGAAAGTTTGATATCCGTTGCATCGCATTCGCTGGGTACGTGCGTAATCTGTTTACAGATTTCTTGATAGTGCTCATGAGACATGGCACTCCTGGACACTCTGGTGTCAGCAATGGTTTTCGTTATATTTTGCCCGATTCGTAGGGTTAAAAGATACATTTTTTTCGTATTTTGAGGTGGCTGTTTTACGCTGTATAACAGCGTGCAGATCATTTAGTTTTTTTGATTGCTTATTGAAGATAATTGTGTAATTGCAGTACGGAGGCTGTCGTTGTTGTCAATCTCTAGCAGAGCGATTCGTGTGTGCTGAGATTTGGCAGAAATTAAAAGAGTTATAGGTTTGGCAGCAATAGTTTTAACTCAAAGAGTTCCCGAAAACGAATAGTACTGGCCACTCTTGACTTGTCGAAAGCCTTCGATATGAAATGGTACTGTACTTACGTCAAACTGCTGCATGGTTCCAGCTTAGCTGAAGGGATAGCAGATGGCTCTCAAATTACCTTAGCGGGCGCTCACCCAGGACACTATTCAGAAATAAATTATCGACAACCAGGATTCCTCTAGAAAATCAGTGAGACTGTTCAGCTCCGCCTACAAACAGTTCAAATCTTAACCAACTGCTGCAATGAATTCCTCGGTTCTCTCCGTCGAAAAAACCCAAAAACTCTTGGAGTGTTTTTGACCCGTCCCTCATATTTGCAGAGCATTTTAAGCAAACCGCAATGAAAGCCGCGCGCAGGATATTGATTTTGAAGGCTCTGTCCGGGACGTACTAGGGACAATCCAAAAAAACTTTGCCTGTAGCGCTCAAATCTCCGATCAGACCAATACACAATCCATAGATATCTTCATAGATGTCATACCCACTATCCGTTCAACAGCACCATAAACTTCTATCCATCCACTTTTTTCTGAAATTGTACCTTCACATCCATCCCTTTCATTTCTATTGTAGGTTGAAGGTTACCCTCCTCTCCAAGACATATCAAACCTAACTTTACATCAATTTTTAAAAAACTCGACAAAATCATCTCCAAGACACGCGATTTTACCACGTTTAACGATAACTCGGACCGAAGCAACTTCGTTTATAATAATTTTAAACCTCTTTCAAAAGGGTCCGCACAAATTACGCAACAAATGCAATAAATGACGCGCCCGCTCCCATAGTTCTCCCGCTGCGCCCACCTGATATCTCCTCGACTGCGGAACTGCTCGCCCGTTCAACAAGAACCCCGTTAGCTGAGCTCAGATCCGGCTGCTCCCCCTTTTAAAACACCTATCTAAATGGAATTGACCCCAATGTCCCACCGAACTGCGTCCCAATTTCAGTCTCCCCATACTACTCTCCACATCTTTAACTGCCCCACAAATCCGACTGAGCTCACCCAAATAGACTTGTGGCTACGACCGTCCGAAGTAGCAATGTTCCTTAGACTCGGGCCAAGCTCGAATGACAACTAACAACAACAACAATTGCGTTGGTTTCATTTGATATATCGGCTATTTGTATGTCGGTCAGGAAGTCATCCGGTTGTTGCTTTGCCGGGTCAGAAGTTCTACTTTGGAGTCCGAGCTCAAAATTTTGTCTCTGGTCTGAGTCAGCGTATCTTTTTCAAAGTTGGTCGAGTGCTTTCTCGACATCATTTCTGATCGAGACCTTTTTTCTACTGAGTTTTTTCGGCGAACTCAGATAATTGTCTACCTGCTTTTTTTAATTGGCTGAGTTCCACAAAAAGTTTTTTTGAAAACTCGGCTTCGTTTTAGCATTTCGAAAGCTCCATGAAAAGTTTAATAGCTTAAGTAATTTTTTTCTGGATATTTTGTACTTTTGTTGCAAATTTTATTGACAAAAACAATTTTTTGAAGTTTTTTCAATTTTGTTTAATTTCATTATCCTCATTCTTTTTTGAGTTGCAATTTGTGCGAAGTTAAGCTTCGCCTCTGTGCTCTTGTATAGTATTTCTTTATATTTAAGTGTGCATACTTAAAATCTTTGAATCA